CTGTGGGACCCCACTTCCCACGTCCTTCCAGGTCGAGAAGGACCCATCCACTACCACCCTCTGGGTGCGACTCTCTAACCAGTTGGCGACCCATTGGACTGTATGGGTGTCTACGCCACAGTCCCCCAGCTTCCTAATGAGAATGGGGTGAGAGACAGTGTCAAAAGCCTTCCTGAAGTCTAGGAAAACTATAGCCACTGTCATGGTAGTGATGGCACCATCACTGGGAGCTCTGTCTCCCTCCAGGTGGAACTTGTGTGCCACACAGTGGATGCCAACAAAGTTGGCATCATGGACAGCCTTGACCATATTGGCCCTGTTGTTGGTGACCGTGAACCCGTGGGTGAGGTCCCTCTGCTCAATAGGATACCCCTGTACCATGCGGTTCATGACCACTATGATTTCCCTTGTTGTGTGGGACTCGTCCATCACCTTGGCTTGAAGTATAGCCCACTGACACCCTGACTGATTGCACCGGTGCCCTGTGAGGGAGAGGTGGGCATGATCCTCACCCTGGCTGCTCCAGATGTCGGAGGTAAAGTGCAAGGCTACCTGCGGACCTACCTTGTGCAGCTTCTCCCTCAAGTACTCCCTGCATGACTCATACATGGAGGGCACCTCTGTCCTGCTAAAGTTGGTACATGTGTGCACTTGGTACCAAGGGGGCCATGAGCCGCCTGAACCCTGGATTCTTAACAAAGGAGAAGGGCTGGCTATCTACAGCAAGCACATCCCCAGTGCTCTGGGTGACCTTGCTCACCTTCAGAATGCGCCTGCTCTTTGTCTCTGCCTTTCCCCTACCTGTCCAGGGTAGCCTGCCTCTGCTTCTTGGGGATAGAGGCATTGGAGTGAGAGGGGGACTTCTTTTTGGGCATGCTGCCATTGGTTCCAGGCTAAGGAGGAACAAGGGTAAGTGGGAGCTGCCTCCTGAGATACAGCAGTATTGCCATGGTAGTGAAGTGTTTCACTTCCTTGCCATGGCTGATCTGCCTTCGGCAGTGCTGGCAGGTAGCATACCTGGGATCATCTACCACCTCAAAGTGGACTACACTACCCACCTGCTTCTGGGTTGAGGGTGGGGATCCTGCCTTATCCCCCTCCTCATGAGGCAGAGGCGCAACAGGAGGAGGAGCTGAGCCATCTGCCCCCACAACCTCCTCCGAAGCGCCTTCCAGAGAAGGAGACCTGCCTCTAGGGGAACTTTGAGGGATGTAGAGCACAAACTTGGATTACCCCTCCTTCCCCAGAATTTCCTTCACTATTGCCCTCAGCTTCTCTGCTTCCAGATCAGGATCCTCTTCTGGCACTGGAAGGCTCATGCTGGGAACTGAAATTGAGGTGGAGAATGTCATGCTGCTGCTCGTTAGTGGTGATGGTGCAGGCGCTGCTACAACCTCCTTGCTCCCACTAGCAGCAGAAGACTCATTGCTTCCAGGAAAGAGGGTGCATCTATGTTTGAGGTAGGGGGAAGTTGCAGCTCTGCCTCTGCTACCTCTCCCTACCCTGCCAGAAGACCTGACACCTGCCT